AAAAAAAAAAAAAAAAAAAAAAAAAGAACGCTGGAACAGAAAAAGGAAGAAAAGCTTAAAACCTAAGAACAGCTGGAATAAAGTGTAAGCTTTAGCTAATACTTGTTCATTAATTGTAACAAATGTTATCATACAATGTAAGATGGTTTTAGTAGAAGAAACTAGGTGTAGCATATATGGGAATTTTCTGGATTACTTTTCTAACTTTTCTGTAAATCTAAAACTGTTCTAAAATAAATTGTATATTTTAAAATAGAATGGAGTATTCAAATTATTTCTAAGTAGTCATTCCTGTGTATCCACAGAGCCGGGTTTATCATAATTTAAGTAATGATATTACATGTAGTCATTTACATCTATGATATTAGATCCATGTTTTAAGACAGGAACACACACAGAGCCCAGACCACTGTTTCCTGATATGTTAGGCTAAAACTCAGATTTGAGACTCAGAATTATATTGGTCCTCTTCAACATTTTACTCCATCTAATTGCACAACTCTACTTGTTGGGTCTCCTGAACTCTAGAGCCAATAACAGCGATCCTAAAGTAATTCCCATGATTTTGTCTAAGGTACAATTTAAATTCTCTGATGACTCTAAATCTGCAGAAATATTAATAGAGAAAAAGTAATAGGGTTATGTGTATAGGAAAAATGTAAATTTTACTACCTGTAAAAAAGATTTCTGCTTATTAAAAAATCAAAAGGGCCGGGCAGGGTGGCTCACGCCTGTAATCCCAACACTTTGGGAGGCAAAGGTGGGAGGATCACCTGAGGTTAGGAGTTCAAGACCAGCCTGGCCAACAAGGTGAAACCCTGTCTCTAAAATAAATAAATAAATAAATTTTTTAAATCAAAAGAGGCCAAAAGATTAGGAAAAGTTACTGGAACAACACATGACAAACACCTTAATATGTAATATATAAAGAAATATATTTCTTAAATATATAAAGAAATTTGTAATCAGTAAAGATGATCAACAATGTGGAGAAACAAGCATTTATAGTAGCATGAACATGCCTTTTAAACATTTGAACAAATGATCAGTTTGTATTATAACACAGAAATGGAAATGAAATTATAATGAAAATTGTTCTCCTGTCTTGTTTGAACAAGTTTGATAAAACATTTATTAGTATGCATATTCCTAGAAAGAGGTTTCTTGTTCTATCTCCCAACACGTTCAGTGTTACTACCACAATATAGTGTGAAAGCATCAAGGCAAATATCCTTAATATCTTTGCCCTAAAGACATCCGTCTGCAATATCCAGTACTCTCAGGTCATTCCTCAACCCAGGGCTCTAACTGCAATAAAATTTATATACCCATTTAGGATTATTTTATCTTCTTGTTGAATTTATCCTTTATCATTATAAATGATCTTCTTTGTCCTTTTTAATTTGTGTTGGTTTAAAGTCTGTTTTGGCCATCACAGTGGCTCATGCCTGTAATCCCAGCACTTTGGGAGGCTGAGGCAGGCAGATCACTGAGGTCAGGAGTTCAAGACCAGCCAGGGCAACATGGTGAAACCCTGTCTCTACTAAAAATACAATAATAATAATAATAATAATAATAATAATGATTAACTGGGCATGATGGTGCATGCCTGTAATCCCAGCTACTTTGGAGGACAGACAGGAGCCGGAGGTTGTAGTGAGCCGAGACTGCGCAACTGCCCTTCAGCCTGGACAGAATGACACTCTGTCTCAAAACAAAATTAAAAAATATATATATTTGACTAACAACTTATATATAAAAGGAAATTATAGATATATTAGACAAAATAGTGCTAACAGGCTATTATGAGTTGAACTGTGTCATCTAAAAGGAGCTGAAGTCCTAAGCCCTGGTACCTGTATATATGACCTTACTTGGAAATACAGTCTTGACAGATGTAATCAAGTTGAGTTCACCAGGTAACCCCAATCTAATCTGACTGATGTCCAAATAAGAGACATACACACAGATACACGGGGAGAATGCAATGTGCAAATGGAAGCAGACATTAGAATGAGGTATTTGTAAAAGCCAAGGAATGCCAAGGGCTGCCAGCTGTTAACAGGTTAGGAGAAAGGCATAGAACAGATCCTCACTCAGAGTCCTCATAAGGAACCAAAACTGTCAGCACCCTTGATTTTAGATTCCCAGGCTCCAAGCTGTAAGAGAATAAATTTCTCTTGTTTTAAGCCACCAAGTTTTTGGTACTTGGTACTTTGTTATGGTATCCTTTAAAAACTAATACATAGGAGAACCTTTGATAATCTGTACCCTAACTTGTTCTCATTACCTGTTTTAAAAAATCTTATTATAAAGGTTAACAAAAGGGTCTTTAGTTTCTATCATTCAACCAGTATGAATTCCTTCATGGCGAATGAGGTCGGAGCGACTACCAAAAGCTTTTCCACATTCCTTACAGTCATAGGGTTTCTCACCAGTGTGAATTCTCTGATGTCTAGTAAGGTTTGAGCCTTTATTAAAGGCCTTCCCACATTTATTACATTCATATGGTTTTTCATCTGTATGGATTCTCTGATGTTGAATAAGTTCTGAGCTCTGAATAAAGGCCTTTCTACATTCTTCACATTCATAGAGCTTCTTACCAGCATGAATTCTGTGATGGTTAGTAAGTGTTGAGGCACTATTAAAGGCCTTCCCACACTGCTTACATTCATAAGGTTTCTCACCAGTATGCATTCTCCGATGCTGAATAAGCCTTGAGTGTTGAGTAAAGGCTTTCCCACATTCTTTACATTCATAAGGCTTCTCACCAGTATGAATTCTCAGATGTAGAAAAAGTTGTGAACTTTTAGTAAAGGCTTTTCCACATACTTTACATTCATAGGGTTTCTCACCAGTGTGAATTCTCTGATGATCCTTAAGGTTTGAGCAATAATTAAAAGCTTTTCCACATTCCTTACATTCATAGGGTTTCTCACCACTGTGAATCCTCTGATGCTGAGAAAAATATGAACTACAACTAAAAGCCTTGCCACATTCCTTACATTCATAGGGTTTTTTACCAGTGCGAATCCTCTCATGTCGAGTAACAAGTGAGCCATAACTAAAGGACTTCCCACACTCCTTATATTCATAGGGTTTTTCACCCGAATGAATTCTCTGATGTTGAATAAATTGTGAGTTCTGATTAAAGGTGTTTCCACATATCTTCCATTCCCATTGTTTCTCTTCACTCATAGTTTTTTGAGGTGGAGTAAGAAATGTGGGCTGAATGAAAGGAGTCATGTCTTCATGGGTAAGTATCACTTGACTGAAATATCTCTTCTTTAGAGATAATATCTTGGTCTCACACATTGATTCTAGATCTGAAAGAAAATAAAAAGGCAAATAAATTTTCCTATTCCGGGCAAGTTAAAATTTCTAAAAAAGAAATAGAGGATTAACACACTTCATTTTCAAAGGTGGCTAGGCAATCTGTAAAACTGACAAGAAAAGCACAGACATTAGGAAGGTAATAAAAGAAGCTGAGGATATAGATTCAGGAAGTAGATGGCCTCTATGAGCCTTAAATGTTGTTCTGAACCAGAGTCACCTTAACCCTTGGTGAATACACAGTGTTCAGCATCATCATCCATATTACAGAGAGATTCTAATTTCTTTTTAAATTTTTCTTTGCCTGCAGGCGCTGCCTGAGACCCAGCTTTGTGTCTCCTCATCATACAGCTTGTGGAACTCTGACTGCAAGGCCATCAGCATGGCCAGGCAGGGGTTCAGCTAGAGGGTAATGGAGGAGACAGGCTAGGAGGATGCTGCCCCTGGTCCAGGGCAGAGAAATTATAATTATATATACATGTGTATAAATATATACTCACATACACAGAGCACAATACTGTTATGTTTTATAATTTGTAGATAATTGTCAGACCTACATAAAAGGGCTATTAAGAATAATAAATGGGCCGGGCGCGGTGGCTCACGCCTGTAATCCCAGCACTTTGGGAGGCCGAGGCGGGTGGATCACGAGGTCAAGAGATCAAGACCATCCTGGTCAACATGGTGAAACCCCGTCTCTACTAAAAATACAAAAAATTAGCTGGGCATGGTGGCGTGTGCCTGTAATCCCAGCTGCTGGGGAGGCTGAGGCAGGAGAATTGCCTGAACCCAGGAAGCAGAGGTTGCGGTGAGCCGAGATCGCGCCATTGCACTCCCATGTGGGTAACAAGAGCGAAACTCCATCTCAAAAAAAAAAAAAGAAAAAGAATAATAAATGCGTTGATAGGTTTAAATGGTGGGGTGGGTGGAGTTCAGTGACTGTGCAAGGGTATACTGGTAAATTGCTAGCCTCCAACAAATCTAGTATGCTGAACATAACTGGTGGGGAGAATAGACAGATACATCTATTCTGTGCATACAGGATGATATCGGTTAGAGACTCACCGAAAATAATTTGCTCTGCAATTCTGTGATGTTGACCTCAGGAGAAAGAAATGAATCATCCAAGTCATGGCAGTGACTGAGAAGAAAGGTGGCTCAAGTTTGAGACAGAAGAGAGTTAAGACAGGATGAAATGTACTCTATGAGAAGGAAGGAACTCCATGTCAACATATGAACAGTATGCCCCAGTTCTATGCTTTAAGGCAATTAACCTCTGAGCCTTCTTTTCCTTGTTTGTTAAAATGGGAATGACACTTAACTCATGATTGCTAAAAAGATAAGGAATAAGCTAGACTATTACTCAACACTCAAGGCTTATTCGGCATCAGAGAAGGCATACTGGTGAGAAACCTTAAGTATGTAAATAATCTAATATAAAGTAAGCACTCAGTATTGGTAGCTATTATTATGGAAGAATGTCATAGCAAAAACAGAGATAATGGGCAAATGAAATGGCTTGAAGATATCAAAATAAAGCCAGCTAGACTATCTTAAGTCCTCCCTCCACACAATCATTGGCCAAACTTAGTCTGGGTGCATCCCTAGAAATCTCTTGAAGTTGTCTTCATTTAATTATCATATTGAATCCCCTCTTTCCTAGACCACTGTAGGCATCTCCTAATGGTCTCTGCAATATGTTCCAGCACCCTCTAATCCATTCAGCACCTGGTGTGGTATTTGTTCTCTAAACTGAAAATCTAAACTCCTTGGTAATTACCAAGAAGACTCCAATAATGAGGCTCTTGCCTACCTCTCCAACCTTGTGTTATACTCTACTTCTGCTTGCTCAAGAAGCCCTAGTCCTTCAAGCACATCAAGTTCTCCCTGCCTTTGAGGGCCTTTCCACACGGGTATCCCCTTTACCTGGCATACCCCCATCCTATCACCATTGTTGGCCCTGCTAATCGCTGCTAATCATTTGAACCTCTGCTCAAACAGCATATCTCTAGAAAGCCATAACTGATCTTCAGTCTAAATTATAGTCTTCCTGTTATCAGGCCTCAGATCTTTCTATTTCTTATTAATAGCACTTATTGTTTATAATATTATATAATCTGCACAGATCCAATGAAATCAAGAAATGTTTGATATTTTCACTAATACATACTCACCTCCTGGCAAACTACCTAAAGAATTACTGAGGCAATAAATGAATTTAGATTTATTGTTCTCAAGAATACATTTTTAGAATGGGGTTTCAAGATGGATGACTAGAGGCACCCAGCATTTACCTCCTCCACAAAGAAGGACTAAAACAGTAGATAATCACACACCAAACTGAGCATCTATTACAGAACACTGGAATTCAGCAGGGAAGCAACAGGGAACGTCTGAGGCACAAAGAGGGAAGCAAAACAGCTGGCCTTACCAGGATCAGCTTGGATCCAAGAGTGTAGGGGAAAGGTAAGGGAGACCATATTCCCACTGTGGATGCCTGCAATCCTAGCCACAAAACAGCCTCTCAGCCCTCATGGGCCCTAAGACTGGTAAAGGGAGCTACCCAGTATCTACACATCACTGTTTTAGATAGGGAGTTCATGCTGGGTCCCTCCCCAAGCAACTGCAGCACAGTGCCATTTTGGGATCCCAGACCCTAACAGACTACATCCTCCCCGGGACCGAACAGTTCCTCCATCTCTACATCCATTGAGCTCTGCTGGCTTCCCCCATGTCCACGTAAAGGGCTAATGCACTGCAATGGTGGCTGGAACCATTAGTGTGGCTAGGTCCCTGGTACTCCAGTCCAGCACTCAGAGTCCTACACTCTGGGGAATGAGCAGTACAGCAGTCAGAGGCTGCTCTTGGGGCAGAGGGAGCTGAAGTGTGTGCTCCCCAGAGCCTGAGAGGCACCTGCCTGGGGCCACTGCCACTGACAGGAAAACCACTGCTCCCAGGCAGCTGGGTCCCTATACATCTGCAAGTGCCTTCAGGGGCCCTTAAGACTAGTGCTGGTCTGCATCAAAGGGCCTGACATCAAGCCTACCTGTCCCACCAAAGCTGCTGCCTTAGCACATCATCTGAGGGTCTGGGAATGGACTCACCTTGCCGGCCGTTGCTGGTGCCCACATGCACCATCTTGACAATGAGGAAAGGCAGAGCCAGTCTGTGACCAGGGCCTGAGCATGCCATCTGGGGGCATGGGGATTAACCCACCCTACCCACCACAGCTTGAATCCATGTGTACCACTGGCAGGGTGAGAAGACAGGTTGCCTGATGCTGACCCTGCCACTGCTGTATGCAATGTCCAGGGCTGTGGGGATGAATTCACTCCTCACATGCCACCAATGCCTGCACATATCTTCTGAGGGCTTAAGTATGGGCTCATTTTGCCTGCCAGTGCCCACCATCTATTGTTTGGGAGCCCAGGGATTGACTCGGCCCATCCACCATCACTAGCATCCCTGCATCCCTGCCAGCAACCTGAAGACAGGCTGTCCCAGCCTCCTGCCACCACCAATGCAAGCACAAAATGTACACACCACCTAGAGGAACAGAGACTAGCCCAATCAGACTGCCACTGCCACTGCTGGTACCTGCATATGTTGCTTCAAAGCCCAAACAGTTGGTCAACTACTGCTACTGTTATAATCAATGCCATACATGCCAATGCGGAGCCCAAGGACCTGCCCACCTTCCTGGCCCACTGCTACTACTGCCAACACCTGAGCAAGCAACCTGGAGGCCCAGAGGTCAACTTGCATGGAGCAGCTACCACCAGTGCCGGAATACAACACCTGAGGCCACATGAACCAGTATGCCCAGGCCATCACCAACACCAATGGGGCCTATGGACCAGCCCAGCTGGTGTCTGGTGTACCTATCCCAGAAAAGCCTCATCACAGCTTCTACTAACAACGAAACCCTAAGCCACTGAGGAATTCATAGATAATGCTGACACTCATTACAGCCAAAGAAATCATATGGAGATTATACTACTGTACCCACCTAGAATAAGGCCAAAGCAACCTACCCAACCACTATAAATACATCTACAGGAAAAACGTTTTCCTACTAAAACAAATCCATAAAATTGGAAAAAATGACCATGACAAAAAATACACAGATATCAATGTTAGATAAAAGAAACATGAAAAAGCATAGACATGACATCTCCAAAGTAACACAATAATGCTCCAGCAACAGATTCCAACAAACAAGAAATCTACCAAGTTTCTGAAAAAGAATTCAAAATAATGATATTAAAGAAACTCAGTGGGACACAATAGAACATGGAAAATACCAAAAGAATCAGAAAAACCAATTCCTGATCTGAATGAGAAATTCAGCAGATAGAGGTCATGAAAAAGAACCAAACAGAAGTCCTAAAACTGAAGAATTTCAATGAATGAAATAAAAAACATTTGAGAGCTTCAACAATAGACTAGATCAAGCAGAGGAAAGAATTTCTGAACTTGAAGACAGGTGTTTTGAAAGAACCCAGGAAGTCAAAAGTAAAAATTAATAAGGAATTTTTAAAACTGAAGAAAGCTTAGGTGACATACGAGACATCATAAAGTAACAAAGTATGCAAATTTTGGGTGTTCTAGAAGGAGAAGAGATGGGCAAAGGCATAAAAACCTATTTAACAAAATAATAACTGAAAATTTTCCAAGTCTTGTAAGCAATATAGACATCCTGATGCAGGAGGCTCAGTGATGCCCAAAAAGATTCAATCCAAAAAGGTCTTCCAAGGCCCATCACAGTCAAACTGTCAAAAGTCAAAGACAAAGAGAGAATTCTTAAAAACACAAGAGAAAGGCATCAAGTCATATGTAAGGGAACCCACATCAGACTAGTAGCAGATACCTTGGCAGAAACCTTCCATGCCAGAAAAGAATGGAATGATATATTCAAAATGCTGAAAGGAAAAACACTGTTAGTCAAGAATGGTATACCTAGCAAAGCCATCCTTCAAAAATGAAGGAGAAA